GATATTTCCCTGTTTTAGCTCAAACATCAACATACTGACAAGATATTTCCCTGTTTTAGCTCAAATATCAACATACTGACAAGATATTTCCCTGTTTTAGCTCAAACACTAATATAATGACAAGATCCTCCACTGCCTTAGCTCAAACATTGACATAAAGGCAAGATATCTCTGTGTGTAGCCTGTAGCCCATTCTTGTTTGAATGAAGTGCAATTTGTGTAAAAAGTCTTTCCCAAGGACACAACATCAGGCCCAGACTGGGGTTCAAACCAGTAACATATGGTTGCAAGCTTAGCAGCTACATGACTAGAAAGGTGATGCCACATAACACAACAATGTCCTCAGACAACAAAGCATGTGAGAGGCAGAGGTTCGTACCTTGCCTCATCTCATAAACGTCCACTCTGTACCCGCGCTGAGCCATATAGCAAGCATTCAAGGCACCAACCTGTCGCAGGAAGTAAACAAAGATACAAGACGCAGAATCAGACACAGATCATCTTACTCGTTGGTGTTTGTGTTTTTGCTTTTGAGAGAAGAGACATACATCAATACACTAACAGTAATATGTTCTATAGTCTGCTTTCGTCTCCACTTTCTGCCCCGACCCCCTCGCCTCCTTTGCCCCTCCTCTGGGCTCCTAACTCTTTCTGCAGCCTTTCTACTGCTACTCCTTGGATCCTTCTCACTGCTGTCTTTCAGCCACATCCCTGATCTTCTGGTTGGAAAGATCTACACCTAGCCTTCTCGGACAAGGGAGAAAAATCTCAGAGGTCCTGTGTGCAAGTTGGGCACATTAAAGATCCCTTGGGGATCTAAAATCGATAAGAGTAGGCTTCGGCCGCTACCCGTGAAAAAGTCAAAATTTCCTAACAACTAAAAATGTTTAATGTGTCCCCAGCACTCATATGACCTTATGCAGTTTAGAACGACGTAAATACTCTCATACACTTTCACAAATCTTTTTGTATCAAGCTTTAATTGTGCCCTTAGTGTGCGGGATGCCAATGGCAGCACTTTAAGATTACATTCTCCCCCCCTCCCCCCTCCTTCTTTTCAGAGATATAAGTTTATGCAATCATCAAAGACCTCAACCTGTCCAGACGTGACAGCACTACTGCATGTTTTCCTTCTTTTTGGAGCCTCCCAGTTGTCGCACTTGAGCAAATGTGATACAAGATTTTGTATCTATTTCAGCTATAGAAGCACTTTTAAGAAAAGAGGTGCAATTTGCGGATTGCAGTGAACTGAGGAATACTTACCTAAATTTTTCAGTCACAAGTGGATACTATAGATTGCACATTAACATTACGATTTAAACAATTTTATTTTTTTTGGCGTGGGGGGGGGGAAATCTTTTCCTTTTAGAGATAGAATCTAGATCTAGTAGTATATAAACCAGGTCTAGATCTATATAGGCACAAAGTGGCTAGTTGTCTGGCTAGGCCCTTATATTGAACGAAACCTGTAGAAATACACAGGTCTCATTAGAAATATTCAGGTTTATAATACATGCATGTCAGTAATTATAAGGTACCTTTTGGTTCCGTCTCAAATACAAATACTTTAGACTTTATATTGAAAACTAAAATTGAGCTGAAGAAGATCAACTCATTACGGACGAATTTTAGAAATGAACTGAAAAAGGTCAACGATCCGCAACGCAGCAATAACAACTTCGTCAGTCTAGCCATCATTTTTCATATTAAGTAGGCCTACGGCTAGCTACCCTCGCCTAGCCGTCATTAAGTACAGATAAAATATATATAGCCTCTGAAATCCCTTATAGGCCTACAGACAACACACTAAATCTAGCACTGTTTGTTAAATGTCAAGGTCATACGAGTGCTGGGGACACAGTAAACATTTCTTAGCCCCTGGGGATCGAAAACTGTGCCCAGTGAAACAATGACCGACCTTGTATTACAAAGGGGGGATAAACAAATGCATGAAACATAAATGACTTTTTATCTAGAGTAGTCGGTGCATCCCTCACCCATAAAAAAGTGACCATTCTAAAAATGATATAAGGGGCTCTCGTGGCCTAGAGGTTAAAACTTAAGGTGTTGGCCTCTCATTCAAAGGTCCCGGGTTCGAATCCAGGTAGCGACCGAAAAATTTTCTTCTCTAAGATTGTCTCCTTTTACCTCCATTCTTGCCTCCGCCTGAACTAACAAAAACATGGGGGGGGTTTCAGGGGGGCATCCCCTGAATAAGTGAATTTGACCCTGGAGAGAATAACTCACGACTTGCTATTCTCACCCCCCCCCCTCCCCAAAGCCTCATTAGCTGTGGTACTGCCGCTGCTGGGCCGTTCCCCCCCCCCCCCCCCTCCCGGACAACGACAGTGATGTAGGCCTTTAGGGAAAAACTATGATGCAGACTTTTGAAACATATAATATATGATCATCGTGACCAGACCTTTGCTAAATTAAATCTTTAATGAACAACAAATAGATCTAGAATAATAATTATTGTAATGTAAAAACATTTTTCGCCTCTCCAGTAAAAAATATAATGATGTTTTACTACCGACGCTACTCATGTAGTATGTGGAACTGGCGGCCATGGCAGCTGGACCATTCGTTGTTTACACACTTCAAGATGGCAGGCCTCGATCTGTCTGCACACAATAAATTATGGTTCAAGAAACACAGGGCATGTACAAACATACTGAGACAGGAGCATGAAACTATATGTATATATGCTCTTGCACAACGGGGAGATCGGAGGTTTGTGAATTATTCAAACCAAACGGGCGAGGGCGTTAAATCGCGTTAACTTATTTAATAATCTAGATCTAGATTATCTAGATCTAGATTCTAGCAATCCAAGCTCTTTTCTTCACTTTAATTTTTTTTTCTTTTATTCTTTCTTTTTCTTTTTTTTTTCTTAAACAGTAACAGTCATCAGAAAAGGTCATTCGAAGATCCACGGCAGGGCTATCTTTGCAGAAATGCAATAAACTACAACGTAAACAATTGTACATGTGGACTCTGCCTTTTCTCAGGCAAGCATGCACTCATCATGTCTTCACTACATGCACCAGTGCCAGTGCAGTCCCTGGCCCTGATTTCACTTGTTTGGAGATCGAGCAACAACAATGACATTAATTAAAGAAGGAATAAAAATAACGACGACGACAAACTTACCAGTCCCCCACCACAAATAGCAACATGTTTTGTCTGTTCTTGAACCATCTTTCGGAGTGAATCTGTAGAGAGTCCCGTGTAGATTCTTGATCTGTCAACAGAACAAGGCAGACGACAAATAAGGCGACTGTTACTGTTATGAAAGTTCCTACTTTTTGCAGAATGCGCGTCCTCGGCGTCCTCGCAGTGTCGTAACATACAATCCAGAATCTACATGCTGGCTGGGTTGCCTTGAGGAGAGAGTTCAAGAGGTTAACATTGAAAGGTCAGGGCTGCCAGTTTGGAGGTGTGTCTGTTGGCGGTGTGTACTAATAATTTTAACCGGTTTTTTTTTATGTTCCTTATGTGACTAAAGTTTCAGAGAGCACCAAAGAGAGTGACTGCGGTGCTTTGGTGAGGTGTACCCACTGACCTATAGCTTTAGGTCAGTTGATGTACCTAATAATAATATCTATCGCCTCTTTTCTCAGTACCTGTACCGTATCACCATTGTGTAATACCGGCCCCCAGTATTACAATGTACTTAAATGTGTTGCAACTGCCGCATA